TTGACTAGCATGTGTGGGCACCAAGTTCGATTCTCAGCACCCATATAAATAAGTGAATAAAATAAAGGTCCATCAGCATCTAAAAAAATATTAAAAACACACACACACCCCAAAAAAAAAAAATACTTCAGTGACTTCCCTGTTGCTTTCAATCCAAAGTATTTATAATTGGACCCTGCCTTTTTTACCTCTTGGCCTTCATTTCTTTTTTTTATTCTCTCTCTCTCTCTCTCTCTCTCTCTCTCTCTCTCTCTCTCTCTCTCATATATATATATGGCTTTGCCATATATATATATATAGATAGATAGATAGACCCTGTCTTTTTTACCTCTTGGCCCTCATTTCTTTTTTTTATTCTCTCTCTCTCTCTCTCTCTCTCTCTCTCTCTCTCTCTCTCTCTCTCTCTATATATATATATATATATATATATATAGAGAGAGAGAGAGAGAGAGAGAGAGATATAGATATAGATAAATATACAGGATCTTTATAAAAATAAATAAATGTGGTGCTGAGTTCGAACTCAGTGTCTCACACATGTGAGGCAAGCGCTTTACCACTGAGCTACAGCCCCAGCCCCTTGGCCCTTATTTCTCAACACATTTCTTTGTTCTTTCTGTCACTGGTCCATTCTTTTCATTTTTTTAGCAGACATTTGTTGATTGCTTATATGGGTCAGACTCTTTGCCAATATTATTAGGTGTGAGGCAGGCAACAGAACAGATTTTTTTAAATTTTCTTTTTCTCTTTGGTGGTGCTGGGGATTGAACCCAGGGCCTTGTACCTGCTAGGCTGACACTATACCACTGAGCCACATCCCCCAGTCCCAGAACAGATCTTTAGACATTTCATTGCCTCTCGAAGTTAATCAGAGCAGGCGAGGTTAACATGCAACAAATTTGACCTGAAATCATTGTTTTAGCACACTAAGAGTTTTATTGCTTGTTACAATGCCTGTCAGTCATGGGTTTTAAGAGGCTCTACTCCACACACACACACTCCTCTGTACAGGGGCCCAGGCTTTTAGCTGCACCTACTGGACCTCCCAGTGTCCTTGGGTCCTGGGGCAAAGGAGGAGAGAGACTGGATGGGCTTCTTGCTGCTACAGTCCAGTGGTGACACCTGTCCCTTCTCACATTTCATTAGCCAGTCTAGTCACATGGCCCCACCTAACAGCAAGAGAGGTGGAAATACTGTAGGCAAGAATATGGACTGTTTGGTGAGCATTCTGGTCTCTGCCAGTTAGTGACATGTAAGCAGTTGCTGACTTTAAATTCTTAAGGGCTGAGACTAGAACCACTTTGCTTTTGTGTTATAAGCACATGGACACACAGTAGCCATTGAACGATTTTTGTTGTTGTTATTGTTGGTGTTGAATAACTGTTCTTGAGCTTGGATTCAGCTTAAGTCACTTCTCTTACTATCTCTCCACCACCTCCCCTCAAGCCTCAGTAGGTGTCTCTTCTCTTCCCATGATGCCATGGTGGTACCCTGTTCATAACTCAACCAAAGCATTCCCAACTCTGTATAATTATGCTTTTTTTTTTTCTTAGTCCACTGGATACCTTTAGAGCAGGAAATATGCTTTTCATGTTCTTTAAAAAACTTGCTGGACATGGTGGCAGTCTGGGGAACTTAACAAGACCCTGTCTCAAACTTTAAAGAGAAAAGGACTGCGGATGTTGCTCAGTAGGAGAGCACTTGCCTAGCATGTACAAAGCCAGTACCACCAAAAAAAAAAAAAAAAGGAAAAGTAATCAAGAAATAAAACGTTGCTGTATTTCTCTCTCCCTCCATTAGATTTATCATTCTCACTTTTTAAAAAATTCTTTTGTTGTACATGGGTGTCGTAGTTGATATGATGATCTCCCTTCTGTGTCCACATGGAAAACAAATTGTCCCTGCCTTGTTGATTCCTGCCTGCTGTATACAGTCACTATATCATAAGCCTAACAGTGTGTTTATCCATCTGTGTGCTGTCACCTGTCTCAATGACTAAAGCTTCATAAAGGTCTGGTTCTTGGTTGACCGTACTCCACTATGATCTGTCTTAAAATTGCAGTGGTTTTAATTTCTGCATCTCCAGTCCTGGCTTGTGATGGTGCCTATTGAATATTTTTTGAACAAATGATAAATTCTAGGATTCCCCCCCTTAGCACGTTACTTTCGGAACCTTTTAGGAACTTTGTCACTTAATTTATTTTTTAGACTATTTTGTGTTTCGAAATTAAACTTCATGATAAGAATTTAATGTTCAAGGCCCTGGGTTCAGTCCCTGGCATCTTCCCCCTCCCCCAACAAATAATTTACTGACCAGAACACCGGTTAGCATTTTACAAGGCAAGAAGGAGTAAGGCCCTGGCTAAGTAAAGAACTTTCTCTTTTGTTTTGGGGTTTCTGGCAGTAAGTTTTCAACAGGTTGTCAAGGAAACTTACTGAGGAGAGCTATTTACCAGTAATAGTGTTTGCTTTGAAGTGTGACTAAAAGTAATGAGGCGTTATTACAGATAGTCTTACTTCATAGTCAAGCTTTGAATGTGCGAAGCAATAACACAAGCTAGATTTACCAATTACTCTTTCACAATGATTGAAATTTAAAAATTGATTGGTTGTATTTTATGTCAGAGTTTTCCTTTTCTTTGCTTTACCTTTGAAATGTTCCCATTTGGACTAAGCCTTGGCTGAATGGACCTAGTCAGCCTTTGAAGTCATGCTTAGGTTTAGAAAGGCTGGAAAACATTTTTCTAGGAGGCAGGGGAAGAGGGACTTTGTTGTCATTTATATAACGAATTAGTAAAGGATTAATTGATTTTACTGCTTTTTTTTCTCAGCTCTTTCTCATCGATTAGATTGCAGGCGTACTGCTGGGGTTGCAGGCATGTTCACCACCACACCCAGCTCACGGTCTGAAAACTGGGTTTTGAAAAATTGAGATGAAATTCATGTAACATAACATTAGCTGTTTTAAAGTAAATAATTCATTGATATTTACTGCTTCTTATCTACTTTCAGAACACTTTGGTCTCCCTAAAATAAAACCTGTACCAGTTAAGCACTTGCTAACCATTTCTCCTCCCTCCCAGTCCCTGTCAACAACCAGTCTGTTTTTTTCTCTATGAATTTACTTGTTGTACATATTTCATATAAATGGAATCATTTTGTGTCTGACTTCTTGTAGTGTAGTGTTTCCAAGTTTATTCATGTTGTGTGTCAGCAGTTCATTCTTTTTATGACCAAATAATATTCCATTGTGTGAATATGCTGCTTTTTTTTTCTTAAATACTGGGAATTGAACCCAGGAGCACCTAACCACTGAGCTACATCCCCACTCTTTTTATTTTTTATTTTGAGGCAGGGGGCAGGGTCTCACTGTTGCTTAGGACCTCATTAAATTGCTGAGGCTGGCCTCAGCCTCCTGAGTCTCTGGGATTGCAGGTGTGCACCACCATACCCAGCTATATTTTGTTTGGATATCATCCTCTTTGATAGACATTTGGGTTATTCTGAATAGCACTGCTTTGTACACTTGTGTGCAGGGTTTTGTTTGAGTTCTTATTTTTGGTTCTTTCGTGTATATACCTAGAAATTACTAGGTCATGTGGTAATAGTTTTGTATGTGTGCAGTGCTGGAGATATAAAGCCAGGGCTTCACATGGCAGACAAGTGCTCTACAACTGAACCTTATCCCCAGTTCTGGTCATACAGTAATTTTATGTTAACTTTTTTTTTTTTTTTT